TCCTGTGGTCTGGTGAGACCAAGCTAAACTTATTTGGTTCAGATGGTGTCAAGCGTGTGTGGCGGCAACCAGGTGAGGAGCACAAAGACAAGTGTGTCTTGCCTACAGTCAAGCAAGGTGGTGGGAGTCTCATGGTCTGGGGCTGCATGAGTGCTGCCGGCACTGGGGAGCTACAGTTCATTGAGGGAACCATGAATGCCAACATGTACTGTGACATACTGAAGTAGAGCATGATCCCCTCCCTTCGGAGACTGGGCCGCAGGCAAGTATTCCAACATGATAACGACCCCAAACACACCTCCAAGACGACCACTGCCTTGCTAAAGAAGCTGAGGGTAAAGGTGATGGACTGGCCAAGCATGTCTCCAGACCTAAACCCTATTGAGCATCTGTGGGGCATCCTCAAACGGAAGGTGGAGGAGTGCAAGGTCTCTAACATCCACCAGCTCTGTGATGTTGTCATGGAGGAGTGGAAGAGGACTCCAGTGGCAACCTGTGAAGCTCTGGTGAACTCCATGCCCAAGAGGGTTAAGGCAGTGCTGGAAAATGATGGTGGCCACACAAAATATTGACATTTTGGGCCCAATTTGGACATTTTCACTTAGGGGTGTACTCACTTTTGTTGCCAGTGGTTTAGACATTAATGGCTGTGTGTTGTTATTTTGAGGGGACAGCAAATTTACACTGTTATACAAGCTGTACACACTACTTTACATTGTAGCAAAGTGTCATTTCTTCAGTGTTGTCACATGAAAAGGTATACTCATATTTACAAAAATGTGAGGGGTGTACTCACTTTTGTGAGATACTGTATATCAATACACCCAGTCACTACAAAGATACAGGCGTCCTTCCTAACTCAGTTGTCAGAGAGGAAAGAAACCGCTCAGGGATTTCACCATGAGGCCAATGGTGACTTTAAAAGAGTAACAGTGTTTAATGGCTGTGATAGACTTACACAGAAAGACACTCAGCTGTAATCGCTGCCAAAGGTGCTTCCATAAAAGTATTGATTCAGGGTTGTGAATACTGATGTTGGAAAGCAATAATTTGTTTAGTAGCTACATCCTGTTTTTGTGTCCATTGGAGGATGTACAGGCTGCAAATAAAACAATTGAAACAGCCCCTCAAGACAGGGTACATCAGCTACAAATGTCATTTTTTATTATTATTTTAAATAATGTTGAAATAAATGGGATATGATCCACAGAAAATACATGGTCAAGTGACTTTTTTGTTTAAAAAAAAAAAGTATATATATATATATATATATATATACACACACACTCAGCAGAAATATATCCAGGGTGGGAGAGACCTTGCGAACAAATTAGACTTGTTCAAGTCTTCTTGCTGCCTAGGGACCGTAAGTATGAACTGGGGGCATATCCACAAAGCGTCTCAGAGTAGAACATATTTCATGAGCTGTCCTAACCAGTTAACCAGTAGGTGTCTTGATAATAGAAAAAGGCAGCAAGTCAGTAGAGTTGTTAAAATAATGTTTTGATTTTCTATAGGAACCATGCATAAATAATCTAGACCTACATGAAACAGTATCTTGCACTTGATGTGAAAATGATTTCTTATGAGCCCTATTTCACATGATATACCTAACCACACAGGCTAATAAATAATCCGTTTTTTAAATGTATTATTTAATTAACCTACATGTTATTTCAAGTTATCAATTTGGAGTACAATATCACGTTGTTAAAATATGCCTAAATTGGGCATGTATGCCTATAAATTGGGCAATTGAAGGCATCTAGGGTCTATGTTAAATTTGAGTTCGATGTAAATGATAGCTTTCAATCGTTTTATGCAACACTATCAGCAAGTGATTTGATGACAACTGTGCCAAAGCGATTTAGAGTTGTTAAACGGGAGTGACGAGTGTGTTGATATAACGGTATAATTATAAAAATACCGCTTTTAACAACAATCAGAATTGGTAAAGAATTTCAAAAGGTTATGTATGCCAACAAATTACAATTAAGAGTAGGCAAAGTGATCGTGTCAGATGTAAATTATATATATATATATATTCTATCTAATTGTCACGTTCACCGTGATTGTCTGAAGCGTGCTATATAGTTCATAGCTGCCGATGCCTCATCGCGATTGTTTATTCCCCATTATTTGCAACAATGTCATTGAGCGTCATCACTACCTTTCCTTTGCGGTACCTCAAACGGTCGTGATTACAAACTGAGATGAACTTTTATGAATTGATTTTACTTCTGGCTGTTTGTCAAAGCAGTGTCTTAAAGGCCCAGTGCAGTCAACAAATGATTTATATACACTACATCAACGCCAGCTTCCTGGACTGCTACAAACAGAAGAATGCGTACATCAGCACTCAAGGTACAAAGATGGCCGGCTATGACACCTGCTAGTTTCACCATCCGAGCCTTTTGCACCAATAATATTTTATGGGCTATTAATTAATTTGTAAGAGGTTCCTTTGGTTCTCAAACTATTGGTATTTTAGTAACACTAAAGTCGCCAGGTAAAATGCATTATGATGTGGTGGATGCATTGGAAGACTTGATCCGGACAATCTGATGATCCTGACTAAATCATTTTGAGTCAGTTGAAAATGTGATGACACATTTGTGTTTTATATAAGGCTTAAAAATCCTTCTTTAACCCATCTCCTCCCCTTCATCTACACACTGATTGAAGTGGATTTAACAAGTGACATCAATAAGGGATCATAGCTTTCACCTGGTCAGTCGGTCATGGAAAGAGCACTCAGTGTACATCTAGTATCACATGACAAACAACTTTAGAGAAGATTAAAGGCCCAGTGCAGTCAAAAAAGGGATTTTCCTGTGTTTTATATACATTTCCACACTATGAGGTTGGAATACTACTGTGAAATTGTGAAAATGATAATGCCCTTTTCGCGTAAGAGCTGTTTGAAAAGACTGCCTGAAATGTCATCCTGTTTTGGTGGGTTGGAGCTTTGGCCTTTCCATGGTGACCTCACCATGCGGTAAATTAGTTAATGGACCAATAAGACAGTTCCAAACCTCTCAGCCAATAACAGCTAGTTCAGTTTTTCCCTCCCCACTCAGACCCCTCCCAGACAGTCCTAGCAAAATTCTTGATTGGGAAATTAGTCTTAACGTATCGGCCTCAAGGCCTTCGTCAGAGCCTTCAAAAAGCTCTGATGAAGTCCTTGAGGCCGATACGTAAAGCTTATTAAAGAGCAGTGATACTATCAAGAGCAGTGTGCAGGTTTCTTCTTTTTTTTCTCATCTTATTCAACTGTTACCATGCACCTGCAAAAAAGATAGCTCAGATGTGCGAATACCTTTGAATTTGAATACCTTTTACATTTTTGTTTAATTTAAAACAATCACAATAAGGTACTTAAATTGCTACCCAGAAATGATTTGATAGAGATTTTTAAAAATAGCTGCATTTAACATCATCCTAAAACCTACTTTGAGTTAGGATTATTTATTTTTTTATGTTGTCTTAAAACCAGTCCTAGGACCTTTTCTGAGATGCTTTGCAGATACAGGCCCTCCGCTAATAGCCCGGCTCCACTCCATTCAGATTATGTTCAGTATATCCACATGGGCAGTGATATCGACTGAAATGAAAGCCAAAATCAAACTTCAAAAAATTTAAAGATTTTATAAAACTTCCATTTCAAAAACAAAGACCTGGATACAGTTCTACTTTTCAAATTAACATTTCTTACTACAAAGAAAAAAAGACAAAACAAAACACACGCTAAGGAAAAACAAAACAACTATCATAATCAACTCCCTTTGGTAAAAACTGTCTTGCATTTACATTTTTCATATACGTACTAACTTCAGCCATTTCTCACTAAAGTCCACAGTAAGCTTGGAAAGTATTACTAGCACAACAACGCAGATCTCAGTCATAAAAAAGGTCTGACACTATGTACAGTTTATTTACAATGTGTGGATAGTCCATCCATAATGATCTCTGTTTATGTGTAGAAGCTGGTGTATTGGCGTAGTAGGGCATTGCCAGCAACTTCAAAAGGTTGAATATCAGGGCGGCCAGGATTAGCTGTGTTTATATACTTATAATAAATATACACACACACACACACACACACACACACACACACACCAGAATACATTTCATATTCTGACATTCACAAGCTATACAATTTTACAGTCTGAGACACAACAGAATTGTGTGGCTAATCTACTTGTCTTTTTACATTAAACGCAACAGTGCTTTTCACTCCTCACCCCACAATGCTGCTTGTGACTCAGGCCTCGTTCTCTTAATGCGGCCTTGTGGTTGAAAAGGAAAGGTGACCAATAAGAAACATCTTGTTCTCGTTTTGAAGTGATGGGTTATTGTGATTTGGCCCTAACACAGGGACGTCGCTGTGCCAGATCGTTTCAACTACAGTCTGCTTTGAGCTCCATGCACCCATGAAACCGTGGCAACTCAAACTCAACCCCATCGTAGTTAAGTGCACTTATCCCTCAAAACTATTTTCCACGGATACCGCAGTTACACCGTCAAAAGTAATCTTTGACAACAGAATCCTTATTCTGATGTCTTCATATATTACTATGTCTGTCATTAACAAACAACCAAACCCCAGCATACTGACTGAGCGCAAGTGATGTTACCTAGCAGGCACCTCTAGGGAGCACACAGTGCAAGTTTATCAAAAGCCTTTTATTAAAGGCCTGAAGACCATGATTTGTGAAATGGTTTGGTCTGCTGGTAAGAGCTCAGGTCAGTAACTGTGGCTAGATTTCAACCAACAGGACAACTCCCTACGTTTTGGCACCGAAAGCCCTGCAAAAGTGGGCACAGCTAAAAACGCCGGTTAAAAACAGTGATCCAGTCGCCCCTGGTAAGATCTGGCAGCTAGTTGTGTTGTGCTCCCATATCAGCCTTAGAAAGTTGTTGATAAGCCCTCTCCTCCTCACCCATTCCTGACCTGTCCTACTATATAATCCCAACCCCCCCCCTCCATTCCTGGTGGGTTATGGTGCATTGAAGGGTGAGCCGTATTTGACACGGTACTTGTTGATGTTCATGAAGTGGAGGATCTCTGGCTCGCGGGTGGTGGTGCATGGCACCAGGCCGTCACGCCCCTCTCCCATCAGCCACTTGTTGGTCTCAGCGGCCATGTCGCGAGTGACGTGCTCCTTCACCCAGGAGTCGACCCAGGCCTGGAAGCGTTTGTGCAGCCGAGTGCTCACTCTCTCGTGTGACTACAGGTGAAAAGGAGAGGGGGACACCGTGGTCATGATACTGCTGTGTTAAAAAAAAAACAGAACTCAACACAGAAAATATAGGTTTCTAAGGTATCTCTCACACAATTGGTGGTCATTTAGAGCAGTGGTTCCCAAACAGTAAGGCGCACGAGGGATCGGCGGGGGGGGCGCAGGCGTCCCACCCCAAAAAGGAACTCAGTCTGGCATTCAGCGTACTCTTGAAAGTTGTAATAGTATAAAAAGTTTGGGAACCACTGATTCACAGGATGGTTACTAGTTTAACCGACTTGAATAACAAGTCACAAATAGGATTGTGTCTATTAAAAGGCCACAAAGGGTAATATGTACAGCTCCACTACTCTAAGAGGGTAGTGGGAGAGGAATATGAGTAAATGGGAGGAGAGGTGAATACCTGGTGAGCACGCAGCAAGGCAGTGCGTCGGTACATGTAGTCCTCAGACTTGAAGACATACACCATCTTGTAGGAGTTGAGCTTGAACATACATTCCATTTGAAGGTTTTCAGCGCTCTCCATGGACTTTTTCTCTCCCTCGCTGGCCTCCTTCTCTAGCTGCTCCCTACCCCTTTGGAACTTCCGTATCCGACGAAGGTTCCTGATTAGAAAAGGTTCCAGGTTAGGCTAGTCAAAGCTAAGGCTCGCTCCTTTGGGGCATTTTGCACCATTTCTCTCTTGAAAGGCAACTGTAAGAGAATAAAAAAAATAGGGTTTGACACTAACCTGGGAAGGAAGACGGGTTTCTGAGCAAGGTGTTCCCGCAACTCTGGAGAGGTAGAGTCAGAATTCAGGTAGCGACCCACGTAATCTGACCAGCGCTAGAAAATACAAAACAAATCCACTCAATACGCAGACCAGCTGCCAAAATAAAAAGGTTAGCAGTGATAACACACATCTACCATTTACCACAACACTAAAAACAACTTTCAACTACATGGGTTCACAGATTCTTTTGATTGCATGTTGTTGTCAATCTTCCCCATTGGTCAAATACAGTATAACAAAAAATCCAGGTGCGCCAATTAAGTGGCAGAAAGCTGAGAGGTGCCTGGGTTCACACAGGAGAAAATCAAAGCATATATTTGTACTGCGCTGTCTATTACCTCTGCCTCCATGGGTTCATCAGAGTTCTCCTCCTCGGTGTCCAGAAGCTCCACCGTCAGCTGAACATGGCCTCGGTTCTTCAGAAACATAAGCTGTGGCGAGAGCGAAGGAAGAAAGGCAGGAGAGGCGAGAGAAAGATGACATTAGGGTATATGCGTGCGATAGTCAGAAACCGACATCACAGAAGAAAACCCAATTTCTGACAGTGGTGGATCTACCTTGAAGCAATTCTCGTCAGACATGATCTGCTCCGCCTTGCGCTGGTAGCATCCCTCTGTGGAAGCTCTGGATGTCTGGGTGGGAAGGGGACCTCCGGTGGCCCCGTTGGTGCTCTCTGCTAGGTACAGGTCTGTCACCTGCACGCAGATCTCGTCACTCACTATGTGCTGGAGCTGCAGACACAGAAAAAGAGGAAGAGCTGAGTGGAGAAAAGTGCACGAGGTCTAGACCAGCAGAACCAACCTGTAAAAAAAAATGCTTTAACAAAAACTGAAAACAGGTTTAGGATTGGCTCATCAACCTGGAGGATCAAAAAGGTAGCTATGATACCAGGAACTAGCTCAAATCTAGTGTAAAAGAGTAGCAGTAACGAGGGGCTACTGACCTGCCTGACGATGCTCTGGATGAGTTTGTCCATGGTGAATGCGGTGTAGGCATGGATGGTGAACATCTCCCGGAGTGAGTCCTCGTACTGAGCCGACTCCATGTTGCCATCCAGAAGGTTCCGCACCATCTCCAGGAAGGAAGAGTAGTAGTCCTCCACCTCGATATCCACTGCAGGTAGGGAAAAACCAGACTGTCAGAGACTGACCATGGCATTATGCATTTGGGTTCAACCAATGTACAGATTACATTTAAATAGAGGACTGCATTCCCGCGGGATGCCCGCAGGACCTGCGGCGCGGTCAGCATTTTTCATGCTGCGGGTGGGAGTGGGCGGTCAGACAGACAAATATTTGTGTTGTCCTGCAGAGTTGGAAACGATAATCTTTCCGCTTTGAATGCTTTAGCCTAGGCCTACCCATTGTATTAAAAGCATGTCGCATGACTCACACACTCAGAATTCGCTGCTTCAAGTTCAGTAGCCTACCTCTCCTCTTCTAGTTGGGCATGTGAGATGAAGTGCGCCTAGTATATGTGTGATTTCATTGAAATAGGGTAGGCTGCCTATGCATGGGCCGAGAACCACTGGCAGTTACACTACATGGTCAAAAGTATGTGGACCCCCCTTCAAATTATTTGATTTGTCCATTTCAGCCACACCCGTTTCTGACAGGTGTATAAAATCGAGCACACAGCCATGCAATCGCCATAGACACACATAGGCAGTAGAATGGCCTTACTGAAGAGATCAGTGACTTTCAACGTGGCACCATCATAGGATGCCACCTTTCCAACAAGTCAGTTCGTCAAATTTCTGCCCTGCTAGAGCTGCTCTGGTCAACTGTAAGTGCTGTTATTGTGAAGTGGGAATGTCTAGGAGCAACAACGGCTCAGCCGTGAAGTGGTAGGCCACACAAGATCACAGTACGGGACCGCCGAGTGCTGAAGCACGTAAAGATCATTTGTCCTCGGTTGCAACACTCACTGAGTTCCAAACTGCCTCTGGAAGCAACTTCAGCACAATAACTGTTCTTCGGGAGCTTCAAGAAATGGGTTTCCATGGCCGAGCAGCCGCACACAAGCCTAAGATCACCATGCGAATGGCAAGCGTTGGCTGGAGTGGCGTAAAGCTCGCTGCCATTGGACTCTGGAGCAGTGGAAACGCATTCACTGGAGTCCGATGGACGAATCTGGGTTTGGCGGATGCCAGGAGAACGCTACCTGCCCGAATGCAGTGCCAACTGTGAAGTTTGGCAGAGGAGGAATAATGGTCTGGGCTGTTGTTCAAGGTTCTGACTAGGCCCCTTAGTTCCAGTGAAGGGAAATCTTAACGCTACAGCATACAATGACATTCTAGACGATTCTGCGCTTCCAACTTTGTGGCAACAGTTTGGGGAAGGCTCTTTCCTGTTTCAGCATGATAATGCCCCAGTGCACAAAGGTCCATACAGAAATGGTTTGTCGAGATCAGTGTGGAAGAACTTGACTGGCCTGCACAGAGCCCTGACCTCAACCCCAATGAACACCTTTGGGATGAAGAATTGGAACGCCGACTGCGAACCAGGCCTAATTGCCCAACATCAGTGCCCAACCTCACTAATGCTTGTGGCTGAATGGAAGCAAGTCCCGCAGCAATGTTCCAACATCTAGTGGAAAGCCTTCCCAGAAGAGCAGCAAAGGGGGGACCAACTCCATATTAATGCCCATGATTTTGGAATGAGATGTTCGACGAGCAGGTGTCCACATACTTTTGGCCACGTGGTGTATCTTTCCAAGGAATTGTACTTCCTAAATATGATTAAGGCTATAGTTTACTACATTGCCAAGGAATAAATATTGATCAACCATATTTGTCTCCGTCTGAAATTCGTATCACTCCTAAGGAGGTAGGCTATAAAAATAGCTCAAGAGAAAGTGCAAGCCTCTCCAACTCGGCTCTCGTCAAACTACATCTAGCATATTGGCTGATATAACCCAGTAATACCGATAGCTTAATATAATTGGCCACGTGAAAATCTCTTGTAATTTCACCTAGGCTATTTCTTAAGATTATCTTTGCGCATTTTGATAATGCCTATAGGCCACAAAATTGCTGGGACCATGGCTGGCAAGTGAGCTATGTCACATACACCTAAAATAACATTGCGGGACTGCGGTTGGGTTTAGGACCAGTTCTTGCGGTAACAGGTGGGAGTCCACTGGCGGGAGGAAGAAATCAGTGCCGCGCAGACCTCTACACTTAAACACATCTTTTAATACACACTCTGAATAGAAACTTATTTACTGTGCAAAGTAGTATACATTTGACTACATTTGCAGATTACTGCACATACTTGAATGTTTGGCCAAGGGCTATGATTAGCCAAGCTCTAGCTTGCTCAATGCTTCACAGATTCACAGTAGCCCCCGTGTGTCTATGAGACTTACCAATGAAAGTGATGAAAATCAATGAGTGATTGAGTGTGAAAAGGCTATTGCTGTGTGGAAAGAACAGGTTTGTGCTATGAACTCACTGGGCTCTTTCAGTCTCAGCTGGATGGCAGGGTTTTCGTTCTTGTCTCGCTTGAGGCCCAGCCCCTCTCCCTCCCGGTCACGCTCCCGGATGTCCTCCTCAATCTGCCTCTCCGCCTGCCCGTAGATTCGCATCAGCCGCGAGCACAGTGTCTGGTGAAGCCGCAGGAAGATGTACCAGTTATTGTTGACGTAAAATAGATTGTAGGCCTCGGCGCAACTTCGCAGCTTCTGGGCACCAGTGTTGCAGAAGAGGAGCTTGGAGGACTTGTTAGGGCTACCGCCTTGCGCGACGCAATTGAGCTTCTTGGCCACGGCCTCATCCAGCTCCATCTCCTCTACCTCCTCTTCTTCTTCTTCCACGTCCGAGAGCTCGCCGCGCTGGGTGAACAGCATGTCGGGGATCAAGTGGTGAATAATTTGTTTGATCTTGTACTTGTCCTCCTTCTGGATGCCCGTCTGCCGCTTGACGTGGTGGATGATGAGGGCGGCAGCGTCCTCCAGGATCTGGCTGTCCTCGTAGGTCAAAGTCAGGTGGGGGCCGCTGGGCAGTGCGGTGTTCTCTTCCGACGCCTGCTCCTGTCGCTACACCACAACACAAAAGCACACACTTTTCCACCTACGTGCTATTGCATGACCAGCAACATAAAATTCCCAGGATGTAGGATTATATCAATTTTAACATATTGGAATTCTAGAAAACTCTACCTCGTCGTATATGCTCTCAATCTCATTGAGCAGTGTCTTGGATCGTAGCACCTTGGTGTCGTTCTGTTTGAAGTTGATACCTTGGTGGTCGAGAGACTTCAGGTAATACTTCTCATTTTGCTCCCTCCAGATCTTGTTGAAGCCCCTCTGGGCTTCCCTCCACTCCTCCTCCTTGGTCTTTAACCTGAGGACAACACAGGGGAATGAGGATGTCTTGCAGGAGAAAACCTCAAAGTGTGACTAAGGGAAAATATGAATAGTTTTCAACTTTGATGTAAGAACAGGCAGAGTATGCGCATGCATGAAAGATATAGACCCCCACAAAAGCCCTGTACACTAATACATAAACATTGAACCAACAGTTTAGAGAAACTAGGGATAGTTCATCCAAATTACATGCAGAATACACAATACTGCTTTCCTGGTACAGTTTGAGTTTTGGCTTGACACTCACCTCTTTAGCACAATGGGAACAGACACGGCAGGGTTCTTCTTGAGCCCATCGATGATGTCAGGGGCCTTGTCACCGTATATCCTCTGGATGGCCTTGCGGTGGATGACCTCCGGGGAGTCTCCCAGCGTGTTGTCCAGGCGGAACTTGGCCTGCTCCTCGGCAGACATACGGGACAGTTTCCTTTGTACGGTCTCCAGCATGCGGATGGTGGCCAGGTTGGTCTCCAGCACCACGTCCAGCTGGAGGTAAATACACAAGGGAGCGTTAGATGACAAGCACAACATGGGCAAGGGAACACAATAGCATAGATCAGGGATGGGCAACTGGCGGCCCGCCAATTAGTCGTGGTCTTAATTCTACTGTTGAGAGTTAGAATAGAATACACAAGGTGCAATTTCACAATTTGGTTGTGCATCAGCAGACACTCAATTGTCAGCAAATATGTTTTAGATTGGTAAGTTAGTCTAGCGGCCAGCTATCTAAACTTGTAGTAAACATGGTCGAATTACCGACCGGGGTGGGGCCCATTCATCATTAGTTATATTCAAATCTGCAAAAATGTACCTCCACCCTATGGCAAACTGTGTAGAATTGCAGCAAACTTGCTCCAAAACGGCAACATTGGCTAAATGTATAGAATTGCAGGAAATTAACGTTAAAAGCATGAAATGTATCTTCGATGTCACGAGGGGGGCTGATAAAATGGTTTTGCTCGCAGGGGGGTGGGGGGCCTCATGATACGAGTTCCGTTTTTTTGTGGCCCCCACCCCCATCAAAGTTGTCCATCCCTGGCATAGATTGATGTATTTGTCCAAGAAACAGATCGAAACATCGTTTTTTTTATTAATTTGGTGAGAGGACATTTACAGTTTGCGCGGTCGGTCATGGGCTAACTCACCTCGAAGCGTTCATCCTCACATCTGTAGATGTGCTCCTCATACTGGGTCTTTTTGGAGCTCACAAAGGTGGAGTCTTCAGACCAGGAAGGGAAGGACACCCAGGTGTCATTGAGGACCTGGATGAAGCAAGGACACACTAAACATCTTGTGTACATACGTTACACATCTACACATATAAAAAAGGTGTAAAAGAAGACTGTGTGATGCGTAGCTGTGAGGCAACACACCGGTAATAATGCAGCTCCAATATTGCTCTGATTTCACCGAGTAAACCTATAGCAACATGGTTCCGACATCCACTACATTCAGAAAACAGTACACACAGTGAGGAGAGTAACTGGAGATTAATTATTTGTGTGAACAGCTGCTAGGTAGGTGTGGTTAACGGCTGGTGAAAAAGGTTCCCTTGAGGGCCTGTTGAATGGCTGTAGTTCTTAAGATTGACTTCGAGGGGCAGTGTTGCACTCACCTCTTTGCACAGTGGCGTTCTCCCGGTGCACTTGGGCTGCATGTAGCTCTTCGGCAGTGCTCTATAGCTCGAGCCTAGCCTCTTACAGGAAGCATAGTCGATCTCCATGGCGATGCCCTCCATGGCACGCTCCTTGGGATAGCGCTCAGTGTGGGACATTTCCCGGTATCCTAGGAAGTTCTTGAACCAATTGAACAGTTCTGGGAATTTCCTGTCAACGAGAGTGGCCATTTTGTTCAGACTATAATTTGTTTTGCTTTAGCCCCACTTAACAAAGCTTTACTGAATGGATTAAATGAATGCATAACCAGTCGAACATGTCAATGATGTGAATCAAGCCCCGACCAATGAGGAGTGGATTAATCTAGACTTAGTCGGTCACTGACTGAGTGAGGCAGTTTCCCAACCTTGGTACTCACCCCAGGAAGGGCAGCACCAGTTGCACCAGCTCGGCCCTGGAGATGACCTCCTGGTTGAAGATGACCAAACAACGCAGGAAGTTGTCATAGGCCTCTGCACTTAGCAAGACCTTCCGCACCTGCAAAAAGAAAAAAAAGAAAAAACCTGGATGAGACGTCAAGTAAAGACAGATTCAAAAATAATTTTAAAAAGGGCAAAATGCAAGCGCCTAATTCCCCCCCCCCCCGAAGATTACTATATCATACTGCACCTTCTAAAGCTTTATGGGGGTATTTAGTTCATTACAGCAGGAAATTATAAGCAACTTTTACTCGTTCATATTTAATTCAATTAGTTAAAAACATTTACCTTTCAGGTTATTTAATTCCGTAGCTAATGAAACTAAATGGGGTAGAAAGCCAAGCTCAAATTCACCTTCTCAAAGAACAGAGATTCTGTGCCAACTCCATGTTTGCTGGCCTCTGCCAGGGACGAGTCTTTCAAATTCAGTAACTTGGGCTTCTTCTGCAAGATGGCAAAGACGGGGACAAAAGAGAGTGAGTTCTCAACAGTGATGTAGAAAATATCATGATATCAGTTTATATTGATAAATAATTCAACACAAGCTGTGAATTAGTAGAGCAGCCTGGAAAGCAGCCAGAGGGTAATGCATTTTCGTATCTACAGTGTGCTGATAGAAAAGGGGCGTGTACCTTGACAGGGGGTGTGGCACCTGTACCAGAGTGCATGCGGATCTGGCAGCCGTTCTGATTGGGCCTCTGTTTGTTGTTGAGCTGCGGCTTCTTCGCTGTGCCACCGTGGTCATTCCGCACAGACTCCGCCTTCTCTGCTGTCGTCTTGCTTAACAGCTAGGGAGGACAAGGGACACAACATGGTCAGATAGCTCAGCGGTAGTTGCACCACAATATTACCTCAGCTACTCATTTGAACACCTGCTATCGAAAAGTTACGTCAACCCCTGAATATTATGTCTGATATGGACTTTTGGGGACAAATATAAATTAATACCTTGAACACACTTTATAAGACATACACTGAGTATACCAAACAATGGGAACACCTTCCTAATATTGAGTTGAACACCCCCCTTTTGCCCTCAGAACAGCCTCAATTCGTTGGGGCATGGACTCCACAAGGTGTCGAAAGCATTCCACAGGGATGCTGGCCCATGTTGACTCCAATGCTTCCCACAGTTGTGTCAAGTTGGCTGGATGTCCTTTGGGTGGTGGACCATTCTTGATACACACGGGAAACTGTTGCGAGTGAAAAACCCAACAGCGTTGCAGTTCTTGACACAAACCGGTGCGCCTGGCACCTACTACCATACACCGTTCAAAGGCACTTAAATATTTTGTCTTGCCTATTCACACTCTGAATGGCACACATACACAATCCATGTCTCAATCGTCTCAAGGCTAAAAATCCTTCTTTAACCTGTCTCCTCCCCTTCACCTACACTGACTGAAGTGGATTTAACAAGTGACATCAATAAGTGATCATAGCTTTCACCTGGTCAGGCTGTCATGGAAAGAGCAGGTGTTGTTAATGTTTTGCATACTCAGTGTAGATTCTCAGGGCACAGATAAATGCTTTGTGCTCTACTCACCACCGAGCTGTTGGCATCTGGTAGGAACTGGCCAAACTCCGAGAGAAGGTCCTCCTGGTTCTTGAAGAGCCGGGCCACCTGGGCATAGACCTCCTGCTCTGTCAGGGCTGGGGTGTAGTTCCCTCCTGCCTCCTTAGCATTCCGCTGCTCCTTCTAGAGTTGACAAAGACAAACATTTATATTATGAGTGCTCCAGTTGGAATATTAAGTGATATGTGATCTAAGAGGAAAATTTGGTTTGGCTGCTGACCTGGTAGGTGTGCAGGATCTCCAGGAAGGCTTTGTAGATGTCGGGCTGGCCCTGGAAACGGTTCTTGATTTTGTTGACGTAGTTGATGGCGTGATTGAACTCCACAGGCTGGTTATTCTGCAGCGGAGGGGCGTTGGGCGTGCCAGTGATCGGGGTGTGGGGCTGCAGGGTCGGGGATCGGGGGGGGGCATAGGCGGGGATGGACGGATTGGGCTGGCTGCTTGGCGTGAGGGCCGGAGATTGCAGTGGCTGCTAGACAAATACATTAAAACGAACACATATATAAAAATCATGTTGGGGGGAAAGAACTAACATATTTAACATTTTGGACTGAGAGAACATAGTGGTAAACAAAATATAGGCAAATAATGTGTAATATTTATATATTCACCCACTCACCTTGCTCATCTTGGCAGGGGTTGGCTGTGTGGGAGGGGGCGGGGCAGAGGTGGTGGTGGGGGCTGGCACCTGGGGCTGGAGCGGGGTGGGTGGTCCCGTCAGGGGGATTTGCGAGACAGAGATGCCGTGAGGGGTGATGTGGTGGATCTGACCCGGCGTGGTCACATTGACCAGGTCGTTGGTCGCGACCTCGATCTTGTAGCCCGGTGGCAGGAAGGTGTTGAAGCCCATAATGAGGTCGGGGTGGCCTTTGAAGAGCTGGGATACCCTGCTTATCACCCCTGGAGTGTCAATGCTGTGACGAAACAGAGAAACATATTTGCTTGAAAGGCAGTTAACTTTTGTCATGCTAGAGTAAGAGAGGCGAAACCTTGAAAATGTCAATAGTGAATGACCTCACCTTTGAGACTTGAACTCCTTCATGATGTCCAGGAAATCATTGTAGACTTGAGGCTGGTTGCCAAACTGCAGTTTCACTTGGTCCAGGTAGGACAAAGCATCTTCCACCTGAGAGAAAGACATCCATGACTCTTTGAGTCTGAGCACTGTTCATCTGGGTCTTATTTGATTATATCTCAGATAAATATATAAATTGCTCTCATTAGGTTGGCCTGGAAAACACCAAACGGGGGGTGTGGGGTGGGGGGGCAGGAGGTCTCACCTTGAGCCTCTGGAACTGCTGCTGGCCCTGGGCTGACGCAGGGGGGTGAGCGTGGCCCTGCATCACAGGGGGCCCGTGGGGCTGGACCACTGGGCTGTGGTGGTGTACAGCTGGGCTAGGGGCGTGCCCATGGCCACTTGAGTTCTGTGGCACAGTGGGGGCCTGTAGGGGGGCCAACAGAAGTAACTTAGGACTGGATCATTAGGGTGTATACATGCATATAAAGGCATTTCTTTTTTTTGGGGGGGGGGGGGGGGAATTACTGATTGTTTGATAAATGACGTTCTTGAATTGAATTATCAATTGTTAAATAATTCCAAAGTGTACACAGCCACAGAATATCACTATTAGGGAGGTTACCGCTCATTTATGATTAAAAATAGCAGTTCAAAATGAATGAAACTGTAAACCTTGGTTGTGTGTGTAGCACTGTGTACCTGGTAGCCCTGTGGGACAGAATACTGGATGCTGCCTGCAGTGGGCTGCATGCTGTCGGCCACGGCCTCATACGCGGCCGGCGCCGGGGCCAGGACGCGGTGCTGGAGAGCCTCCGTGCTGCCGGGGAGGCGCCGCTGTTGGGACGCAAATACCGGTTCCTGTTCCTCCAAGCGCCGTTTCATTTTGAACTCATGCTCGAGGGGGCTGAAAAACCTGCGAATGAAACAACTTCAGCACGGAGTCCGGGTAGTCATGGATTTACTGGCCCGTTTTTTTGTTATACTCGCGCAAAAATAGTGTTTACCTTCTCACTTAAATGAAGACAAAGGTAGCGTCAAAAATATATGTACTATCAGGTAGGTAGGTATACGTTTTGCAAAAAATGTAAGCCTAAACTTAATACACAAACAGGTTGTTTTATTTATTTCAAACATCCATAATAATATGCCATTTAGCAGACGCTTTTATCCAAAGCGACTTACAGACATGTGTGCATACATTTTTTTGCGTATGGGTGGGTCCCGGGGATCGAACCCACTACCTTGGCGTTGCAAGCGCCGTGCTCTACCAGCTGAGCTACAGAGGACCACATCCTGGGAAGAAAGTGTGAGCGTGCCAGTTGTCATTTGAAGCTAAACATGGACATAAAAAGACGACTGGCACGTGTTGAGACAATGTTATAATACTATGTAGACTGAAAACAACCTAGCAGCCAAGGCATGCTGCAGAACTATGAATTACGTAATCGAAACGACACTACAGCACTTGGGTGTATTCAAGACATTACGCCGATTCTGTTGCAAAACGTTTTGCAACAGAAACCGTTTACTCCTAACGGAAAATGTTATGCAACGAAAACGAGAGTTTCTATTGGACAAATTCAGGTAGGTTCCTCCCCGTTTCGTTTGCTTCTTAAAACGGTAAACGGTTTCCGTTGCAAGAGGTAATGAATACACCCCTGATTGAATGTGGCTGACTTGCTACCTTCCATTCAGATCTAGCTACCGTTGTAGTGATTTCTTTCCAGCAATTTCGCATGACAGAAAAATAGTCAAAATATCATGACATCTCTACTTGGTTAGTCTGAATAGTGTTCTAACAAATATATATTATGATGTAATAAAATAGCTAGCTAAGCAGCTGGGTACCATTTCGGGACAGGCTCCTGTAACATAATGCTGCATTTGCTATGCTTAGAAATAGCAAGCTTGCTAGCAAAAGTTTAGCTAGCTAACGTTAGCTATATTTAATTAATATTCCAATCCATCTGTGACTAGACACGTCGTAGGCTATGATGACTAGACCACTAGCTTAATATATGACCGGGTCCATGTTTTTGGTCGGTGCCACATACAACCTCGGCTGGACGACTCGCAAACTAGCCAACATTTAGTTAACTTAGCAAGCGTCTTCAATCAGGTAGGTAACTAGTTGCCAACACACTCCAAGCTAGTTAACTAACGGCTTATGCTGCTGTGTAGTTTGATTGTAGTCACATGCCATGTCACATGTGACTAGCTTGCTAACAAAACAACCAGCATTTCCCAAATAAAGGCATTGCGAGTAAGTATAAAGGGAACGGCTCATATGCAAGTGTATTGGCCACAACAATAGCTTCGGCCTTATTTTGAAGTCGAAAGTAATGGCCAGTCCCCTGCACCCTCCCCCTCTGCTTTGCGGCCTGTCACCATTTCAGAACACCGACCGCGAGAAGCCGAAGCGATCCAGAGTGTGCCCGCCATTGGAAAACGACTCAAGTATTAAGTGTTTAGAGAAAACATACTAACTAGTTATCATGTTTTCAAATTCCATAGTTAAGACCACCACAACAAAAGATGGGACACTAACGGTGCCTTTTAAAAATGAGCAAACTACCAGTTGTAAAGGTAGGTTTGTTAGTTAGCCAAGCTGTCTTGCTAGCATAATACAACAAACAACACATTGAGAATCGATCCGAGTGGAGCACGGCAGGCTAACTAACTACAGACGGTAGCGGTGCACAATATTCACATGCAAATCGGGATGCTAGCCAAGTCACCAATTGTTTTGCCTAAAATCTTTGCTAAAGAGAACTTCAGCAGTGACTTAAAGTCCCTTTTCCACACACCAGTTTCCCTGAAGTACTAGCTATATAAAAGTTGCTATCGGGAAATAGCTAATTCAAACGAAACAATATTTTTTAATTATTGTCAAATTGAACTCACCCCCTGCCCTGGTAACACAGACTTGAACAGGCACGCTAAAGTTGCAGTCAATTCGTGGGTATGAACTTAAACCTTTGAAAGCCGAAAAGACTAACAGGAGCATGCATATACTTTTGTAAATGAAATAATTTAAACAGCTATAAGTATTTTAACAATCGGTGCCCCGGACCGCAAAAGGAAAATCTTCGTCGAGAGAAAACAACCTCCGCTCCGTTCTTAAGGAAGAGGCGTGGCCACGATTGTGTATTTCTCTTTTCCACCCACTGAACAATGTTATTGGTCGGCGCTCGAAAGAAGCGGCAATGTGGGATGGTATTGTAGTTATTATTGGCAGTTTGAGAAGTCCATCAAATATTAAGCACTCAAAAGGGGTTGTACTTTCACCCGCCACTCTGCACTCAACGTTCGAAAATTAGACTGAACAAAATGCTCGGGAAATAATCAGAATGTTTGTAAACAAAGCCATTCTGGTTGTTCCGGGTTGCAAGCGTCGGAAAGCTGCACTCGAGAACGCAAATGAAACCATATGCAGACCACCGCCGTACTAACTAGATTATCTAATGAAAAATTAATATACTCTAACATCTCTATAAAATCATCAACACTACTCTTGTTATCAAGCCTCCATTTTTCTATGTTAGCTAGATAACTAGCTTGCTTCGTTCAGAGGAAACGCTAACTACAAAGTTACATTGCCATGGTTGCAGCTGACCTGTATGCTAGTCAGAGCCATGTATTTGTATGTATTTAAATTATATATATATATATATATATGTCAGCTCACTCCAATTGCAATGCTGGATAGATAGCTAATCTGTTCCATATATGAAAATAGCGCCTTAACTGACTTTATTTAATGTTCACCCACCCACATTGTGCAGAATGAATGTAGCCCATCTGTAGCACCCAACTACCTAGTTAGCGGAGTTCCATTTATCACCCTCCTTTTTCAGCTATCTTGTTTGAAGACCGAATGACCGACCACAAGATGCCTGCCAGTGGGTGCGCTAGCTGGTTAGCTAAATATTCCTGCCTCAGCCATTACATTGGCTATCTTGTTAGTACGCATGGATGAATGCAGATGTCCGTCAAAGCAAAGACAACCCTCGTTTTCAATGAATAAGCTGGTTTGGTATCTACAACAGCACACACATATTTCCTTACCCGATGCCGATGGTTCCATAGCCTGCCATACTTGAGTTGCTGAGCTGGGGCTACAAGGTTATCAGAAAGCTACTTGTCTGGCATAAGCTACAGCCTATATGTCGACATGTAACGTTAATCATGGCAATTTTAGAGTTAATGTTATACACATAAAATAACCTCTGTTTAAAATACATGACATTTACATTTTAGTCATTTAGCAGACGCTCTTATCCAGAGCGACTTACAGTTAGTGAGTGCATACATTTTTATTTTATTTTTCATACTGGCCCCCGTGGGAATCGAACCCACAACCCTGGCGTTGCAAATGCCATGCTCTACCAACTGAGCTACATCCCTGCCGGCCATTCCCTCCCCTACCCTGGACCAATTGTGCGCCACACAATGGGTCTCCCGGTCGCGGCCGGCTACGACAGAGCCTGGATTCGAACCAGGATCTCTAGTGGCACAGTGCCTTAGACCACTGCGCCACTCGGGAGACATTATTATTGTTTGACTATGATATCCTTCATCTGATGGGGTGGGTGGGTGGGGGGGGGGATTCATTTACCTGTTGATCTACAAACACTGCATATTAGCTATACTATTGTAATGTTATACCTCTGAAATATGACAAATTATTCACATTAACACATAGTATCAGTGACAAAATCTCCCCCTTCCCTGTAACATGGCGGAAACTCACGCTTGAGCCTTTTAATCTCGGTTGTGGTCCACCAGCTTCAAACAGCTGAAAAACTATATTTTTTGTTATTTAAAATATATTTCACAGCGATTTAGATGGTACAATGATTCCCTACACTATTCAGTGCTTATTTTCTCACAAACAGAAATTTTACATTTTTGCAACCAGCTTGACCCGATTTCCACTATATAAACACAGCCACAAAGTCTTCTTCTGTGGTATTATGGCGGCCCGCAAACAAACGTTGAAGGTGCATGCCACCACATACTGTACGTGTAGTGAACGAGGAAAAAAACAAAACTGAGAAAGTGGAAAAAAACCAACATCATTTACAATACAAAAATAAATCCAAAAACACATCCCACTCCTTCAGTCATAGTCCAAATCACATCCCTACACAGGCTCAGCAGGGGCCTGTGAGGATGGAACGTTCGTAGACAGGTTTCCTTGTAATGCCTCTGCTGTAAAATCCCTGGGTCCCAAAAAACATTAAGCCGCACTCACAACACTGCCTATTTTCTCTGATTCCCAATACGTTTGCACCTTTTTTAACATTTAACATAACTTTACTCCCTTCTTCTACTCTTCTCAACGCCTCGGGATAGGAGACACGCTGGACAGGCCTTACTCTTGCCACCTCTGTCTCCTTCACCCTAACAGGACACTTCATGAATTTGGGCGCATGCTCGCCACTACAATTGCAGCATTTCGCCTCAAATGGCATACGATACTCCTCCCGTCTACATACACTTGACACATGTCCAAATAGTTTACATTTATCACACTGCATTGGTTTGGGCACAAAGGCTCTTACAGGTCACATAACCTAAATATACATACGAAGGAAGAGACTCTTCTTCAAATAACAAAATAATGGATGGAGTGGTCTTCCTTACTACATATGGGACAGTCGGCGTGCATCAACCACTGCATCTACTTTTTCAGTTACATCCCTTGCACTAACTTCTAGCGCCACTCCAGAGATAACCCCCTTGTTATCAACCTTATCCAAAGCATCTATGATATTCACTGAGACATCAAACGCATCTCCCAGGGTCCAAAACCATCACTTCTAAAATAAAAAATAAAACAAATCCGAGCAAGGCTTTATACTAGATTCCATCACCAC